CTCCGGTCGTCCTGCGGTCCCTGGGTCTTCTCGCTGTTTCTCGCTCGTTTTTTTGCTTTCGCTGTTTTTTCCCTCGGTCGCGTCGCCCCCCCCTCCCCCGCGGGGGGTGTTTCGGGTTGTCCCCTCCTCTTGGGGGGGGGGGGGGGGGGGGGGGGGTACTCTTAGTCGTGCCCCCGGTAAACGTTTGACCATTGGGGGGGGGGGAGGAGGGAGAGATCAATACGACGTAGCTTGGTTTCAACCAGAGGAGAGACGACGGTAACGACAGCGAACAGTTCCGGCAATACGGCACGCTGGTTCATCCGCATACGACCCCCGATATTTTTGGCTGACGTGGCGCATGCCGCCTCCTGCCCGGTCACATCTGCAACACTTGTCATGCTCACGCGTGCGCTTGGTGGCCGCCCTCGATTTTCTCTCCTCTGGCACTGCTGCTGCTGCTGCTGCTGCTGCTGCTGCTGCTGCTGCTACTACTGCTACGTGCAGAACTGTTTGCTTCAGAATGCGAACCGCCCTTTGCTGTAACCGCGCTTGTGCCGTGCCGTCATTGCTCGTTGTACTCGTGGCGAAGACCGGTCAACCAGCTTTTTTTTTGTGCTGATAAATAATGACGTCAGTTCATTAACCACCATTTACGTTGTACCTTGCACGCCACAATTGCGGTCCTTTTTTTTTTGTTTTTTTTTTGCCAGGACCCTAGACGGCAGTATTCGACGACGCACAAGCTCATCAACGGCCTGGAGCGGCTGCTGTCTGTGTCCAGCACCCTGCCCACCTCGTCGAGAAAGGCATCATCGCCACCGGGGGCGAGAGCGGGAGAAGCAGAAAAAGCGGCGGCAGGAACGCCAAAAGCAACGGTACGAAAACCTGGAGTCCCGCCACCTTTCCCTATTTGCTTGGATTGCCGGTGTCATTGAAGGCGCGGCAGGATGTTTTTTGAGCGCGCGCAGTTTGGGATGGGGGTGTAGGTCGAGCAAGTTCCCCGCCACGTCCGAAGTTCCACGAGGTTTTCCTCTGAAGTACGAAAGCCCAGAGCGACCACCCCCTCACGCACTACCCTGCGGTTACGGAGCCCCCCCCCTATTTTTTGCGCGAACAACAGCAGTAAGGCGAGATACACTCTGCATGTGCACTCCACCGCCAGTGGCCCTCGAACAGGTGTCTGTGCCTCTAAACACCTAACCTTTTATGTTGTATTTAGGTATAGGCTCGAGTGCAGGCGGGGTGTCTAGCAGTGGCTGGGGACGGCGCGAGAGGGATGGGTCCTCAACGGTCAGCTGGCCCCGAGGACGAGCGATAACGTGAGAGTACGCATCCCCTTCCCACCTCCCCCCTACATGTTCCGGTGACCCCTCCCCTCCTCTATCGCGCGTGTTTCGCCCTCGGTTTTGATCGTCGCTGAACTCAGCACGACACCGCTAACAACGGCGCAGCAGCAGCAGCAGCAGCAGAAACAACAGCAAACTCAACAACAACAACAGCAGCAGCAGCAGCAGCAGCAGCAGCGGCAACAGCGGGGCAAGAAGGCGGTGCACCCTCCGGGGTTGTTCCGTCGTCCTCGTCGTCGTCGTCAACCTCGGTGGTGGCTGTCAAGGTCGAGGAGCAGGGGGGTGTGCAAGTCCGAACTCCCCTAGGGGGGAGGGGGGAGGACGGGGGGCGGGTTGTCGAGGGGAGCAACGGGGATCTTTCGGTCGACGCCGCTGTAGTGCCGGCAGATGACGAGGTGCGTACGTCCGTGTGTAAGAAGCCCCTGTGTGCGTGTGTCACGCACTTCTGAAGACATTAGCTGCACGGTCGTAACATATATGCGGTATGGAAGCGTTCTCGAGAAACGCTTGTCAAGCCTACGGTAGCAGGGTTTCCTGATGGACGCATGTTGCAAGGGTAGCGCTGACTGGTGCCGTTATTTTCTTTCTCTACGAACGGTTTTGTTTTTTTATGAAACGCGACTATTATTGCCGGATCGCTTCAGGATCACACAGGGGGCTACGCTTGTGCGTATACGGGCCTCATCTCTCTTGGTCTTTAAACCGAGCAAATTGGACCGGTTTCATTCCGTAATATGTTCCACAATACATTCCGTAGGTTGCGGAAGATACCCCCCCCCCCCTGGGATCGATTTCGAATTCGAAGACCGTGTTCATGTAGTCGCGGAATGTCCGTGGTACGAAGAGGAGAGGGAAGTGTACATGACTAAGCTGGGAAAAATAGAAGGGAGGTACAGGGAGGTGTTTGAGGCATGGAATAGAGAGGAGAGGACGGTAGCTGTACTGGGGAGTAGGAAGTGGTTTGAAAAGGCGGGAAAGGGATATCGTTATGAGAGACAGACTAGGGAAGACATTTTTGAGCCACCTTTGGCAAAGTAGGAAGGAACGATTGGCCATCAGTGATCGGTCCTGTGGGAATAATGCTCCGTCCTCTCGAGGACGCGTGGTCCATGGTCTAACCGCTAAGGCATGCAAAACATAGAGTGCGCCCCCCCCCTGGGATCGATTTTCATAATCAGAAATACTCTGCATCAGAAAACCGTGCAGGTGCCGTCGAGATGTGGCGTTTTGGAATCTTCTCGTGGAGAGCTTTCCCAGAACGCATCGTGTTTTTTAGGCATCCCCTTTTCGTCGTGGAGTAATCGAGCTGCGATTATCGGTCCAGGGGGTGTGGCAACTTCTGCAACCTACTTTCGAACCCCCCCCTCCCCCCCGTTTTTTGGCGACCAAAATAGGAACAAACGTGCGCTCCTTTGGGTGTGTTTGCCTCGCGTAGATTGTGATGGTGATACAGCCGCCTCTGCTGCTGCTACTGCAGCTTCTTGCCTTATCGATTGAAGCACGCCAGTTCGACAGGGCATGCAGCCAACCCCGGTCTTTCTGGCACATTGCATGGTGTCGTGTTCGTCATGGGCGATTGTTTTTTTTTTATTTGAGTGCTTGCCCTGAGCGGACGACCTCGTCCTGTGATCGTGTTGTTGATGGCGCCTCCTGTTTGTGGGCCACTCAATAGCCCGCAGGAAGCGGTGATTTGTTGGCGGATAGGTACGCTGCTTGGTTTGCCGGCAGAAAAGAAACGGAGGGGTATTTCAGTTAGGGCAATGGGCGTGGTGTTGATGCATTGTATAGTCAACTGTGCGTTGGATCGCTCATGGCACTTTTTTGCACGCCTGGCCTGGTCTCCCCCCGGCCGTGCTCGCCAGACAGCCTCTGGTTTTGCGGCGAGAAGCGTTTTCTTGCACGGTGCAAAATAACGGAGAACAAACAAAGAAATAACTCGTAAGAAATAAGCGTCGACTGCTGGTTGCTGTGCACACGACGAGCATCTCGTTCGTCGGCAGCTGCTGCTGCTGCTGCTCCTCCTGCCCACACCCTTCGTTCTCTGGTAGATTTCGTGTTCTCCTCGTCGTGTTAATGACGCTGTTCTTTTCGGCCTCTCCTTGTGCGCGGGGGACGGTGGCGTGTGCAAGCAGTCGACCGCACGAGAGGGGACCGGCGACTGGGAAGCGGGGAGCAGCGGGAAGAGAGAGCCGGGGAGGAAGCGACTCAAGGTGAGACGGGGTAATGGGGCCGCCGGCCACACCAGGCCAACAAAAAGGGTGTGTTCGTGCGTGTGAGGGTTTTGCTGTTATTCGTGTTGTTTCAATGTTTTATTTTTGTTCTTTCTCTGCCCCCTTCCCAGGCGTCTTGTCTTGCCGATCGCTCGCCACTGCTTTTGTTGTCGGGATGTTGCGTCTGCTGGTCTCTCTGTCTCTTGGCCAAGGACGAAGACGCACGTGCGCCTCGTGACCCCTCCGCTGCGATAGAGTTTTGGCGGTTGCGCGCGGCGAACGAAGGAACCGACGACCCTTGCGTGTGCTGTTGCGGGTGACGTTGGCTTTCGGGAAGCTATCTGCACCAAAAGATGCGACGTTCCGAGTAGCCCCCCTCCGACACCCCCTCCGCCTCACCACGCCCCAGGCTCTAACATGCGCACCCGGGTTGCAGATTCCCCCACAAATTGTACGCGTTTTCTATTTGTACAAGGCATTAATAACGCGGAGGCAGCCGCTTTCCTGTAGGGACCGGCCGTTATTCGTCCATGACTCCGGCTGCAGTAGCGATACGATATATGGCCAAAGCTTCTTTTAGACTAGCCTCTACAGCGTGATGCCACCAATAATTTGGACGGGGTAGTTTTTAAAGGCGTACCATGTATAGAGCGCTGAAGGTCAAATTTGGGAGGATCTTCCGGAGAGCTTTCCAAAGAACATTGGAGGTAGATGCGGAGGGCGTGTTTGCTCGATGTAGGCGGTAGATTGCTTCACTGGAACGACCCTTGTGGTGGCGATACAAAGTTGCGCCAACCCCTCGGTGCAACTTATGCCTACGTGATTCACTCTGACGAAGGGTCGAGCGAGTTCGTCAAACTCCTTCGAGTGTTGTATGGCAGCGTGAAGTTTGGTGCTGAGAGTTGCGAAATGGGCTTGAATCAGTAGTTCTCTTGTCGTTTTTTCCTGGCACGGCATTTGCCAGGTTCAGAGCGAAGCCAGGGCGAATCAAAAGTCTGTGCGTGTAGAACAATATGGGGGTATCCTGCTGGGTTCATAGCATGCAGCCATCTGTGTGGGGAGCACCGGCGGTGACGAAGGTGTGAACCGGATTGTGGCACAAGTCAACACATCATGGGGGCTCGCTCACACGGGGTACTATCGAATTTCACGGAGCCCCCCCCCCCCCTTTTGGTCAGTTTTTTTTTCTTTTTGTGGAACCTGTCGCCCGGGTGTGCGCGAGCAATCCGGCGAGCAGCATTCCGCTTCCCACGTTTGTTTTATTTCCCGCGGTTCATTCTCGTTCGAACGCTTTTCGATGAGGCCGAAGGGAAACTCTATGTTCGTGCCGAGCCTAAAGCGCTATTTGTTGTGCATATGTTCTAGAGGAACCTCGTGGTCAGGGAAGAAGAGCATTACACGCTCCCGATGGGCTTCGATTTTTTGCCGTTTGCCGGCCGTTGCTTTGCTCAGCTGGCGTTTTCCGACTGTTCGCGCGTTCTCCAAAATATGACCGCATCCGACCCAACTTCTCCTGGCCGAATCGTCTTCCATTTGGTTCTCCGACCGCCCTTACCCCCCGCCCCCCCGCGCCGCCCTTGCAATCTCCGACCCCCCATCGAAACAGGTGGAAGTCGCCCCAGAGGCCCCCGTGATGAGCGAATAAGTAGTTGGGGGGGGGGGGGGGGGTACGGGACCTTCATCGCATTCGCATTGAGTTGATTTGTTTTTCGCTTGCCGGTCTTGCTGGTCGCAACCCTGTTCGGCTGGACTGCAACAGCCCTCAGCCCGTTTTTCTTTTTCTTTCTGTTATTTGTTTAGCCAGTTTCGTGTGAGGTTTCTCGTCGCCCCGGGTGGAAAGAGCGGAACGGGAGGGGGGGCATTTGTCAACGTTTTGTTCGTGTGGATCTGTGCTAGGCGCGAAACTTTCGGCAAGAAAGCTGGCGGGAATGGCAAGACCAGGGGTGTTTTTGCCGTTTTACGTTTGCATGAATGTGCATGAATTTCCGCTCCGCTCGAGCGGAGCTCCTTCCCCGTGTCGTACGCTGCGTTTATCGCATCGTCATACAACCACACCCGAAAGCAGCAGCGCAGCAGCGGCATGATGCATGGTACCCACGGCAAGCGACGCACTCGTCGCGGGGGGAAGGAAGGAGGGTGCAGAAAAACGAAAAAAACGGAGATTACACCTGTACGTAAAGGGAGCCGAGTAGGAGAGGCGTGAGCAATGTACGTGTGCGGCGCGAAGGCTGGTCGGTGTGCGTGCTCCTCTTGTTGAGTTGGCACACTGCGCATTGTAGTTTGCCCTTGTCCGGCCGGCCGCCGCGGTATGCCAGATTTTCGTACGGCGAGCTACTGTAGCCGCCATTCCGCTGTACTCCCTCCAACGCGGTTGTCGGGGGGACCCGATGTTTACAATCGCCTGCAGATGATGTTCTTCCAACAGGGTGGCAGCACGTAATATAGAGGAACATGCCCCGAGAGAGTGGCACAGGGGGGGGGCAGCAGTTGACGTTACGGTCGAGACTTCGTATGCACAGCATGCTCGCCGTTCTTTTTTTTGGGCGCCGCGCTTTTGCTAGATTCAAAATGTAGCATACGAACGAGTGAAACTGTCTGTGTGAGAACTTGAGTTTCGTTTTCGTCTGCCAAGAGTTGGTCCCGCCCGGAAGCAAGAGGCACCCTCTTGTGCCCACGCTCTTGTAGTAGAAACGAACAAGCAGTTACGTCCGTTTAGAGCGCCATGTACATTCACACACGCATACCAAAATGCATGCCGCATTGGGCGCATCGGCGTGCTCGGTGCAGAGGGGACCGATAGGCAGCCGCTCTCGCCGCCGTCGCGACACGGGGTGAGATTTGTGACATCAAGACGAGGGACGATCCATGTAGCACCTAAGACCAATAATATGTGGAGGCACGAAGGGACGAGAAAGAACCGGATACTTGAAGAGTGCAGCAGTTATTGCTCTGTTTTGCCAATTTCCACGTCGTCGTCTTCGCCGAGAAATTCGTGCTCGCGGGGGTGCTTCCGACCCGCTTGGGGGTTGTGCCGAACATAGGCATCTAGGCTCGACGCGTTCGGTTGGTAAGCGGTCGGTCGGAGGCGAATTGAGACGGGCACGATGATGGGTGACTTGCGCGAAGAAGGTTTTGGTCTCTGTTGCGCATCAAAAACCAAACCTACCTGTGGGCTAACCGATTCACTCTTGGTGCCCGAGTACGGCGGCATTTTCTCATTTCGGCTTGGTTTGAGAGTTGGCTATCTCCGGGCTCTTCTCTCTCGCGAAGTTCTCGTTGTTCGGTCGACGTTCTCGAGATCGTTGCAACAGATTTCGGAGTGGGTTGGTAGGAGTGCAACGGCTGCTGCGACATCGTCAGCCCTTCCTGCGAGTTTGGCACAGAAAGTATTGTTGCGTTTTTCGTGTGAGAGAAATCGCGCTCTTCTTCGGCCTTCTCTATTGCGAAAGAGTGGTGACTTCGTTGTAGGAGTTCGCCGCAACCCTCGACGCCAGACCGAAGCCACAAACCGCCCAAACGTTTGATACCAACTCAGGGCTGAAGTCCACCCTCTGTCCTCCACCAATATCGACCGCAAATGTCCACCCTTCGGTTGACGCGTAGACGCGTATCGCGGTGTGCGGAGCGTAAATTCACTGTCAATTGGTGGTTCGTGCGTAAATGCGCGCTTTCTTTTGGGTTGCATACCCTAGTTTTCGCTTCGAACTGAAATAAATGAAGGTGACATGAATGCCCGGAAGAATTTGCGCAAAAGAATCAACTGCCTTTCGTTGTGTGTTGACATTCTGTATGCGATGCTCCTTAATCCTCGCCGTGAATCGCGAACTCGCTGTGAAGTGAAAGTTTTTCATATTGAACCACATGGTAATGGCCTTCCGGGGTCCGGTCTGTAGGTGTCGGTGAAGTAAATGTTTTTCGCCTGCTGCAGCTACTACACGCAGCTACCGCGCTTTTGAGCGTTAAATGTTTTGGGACAAGCCTCGCAATTTTTGTCCCGTTACCAGCAACGTTGCATTGTTTCCTAACGTTTTCTCGTGGTATGAATTGTGGATGAATGATTCCTCTTGGGATTGATCGGTCCATTGCCTCAGAGAGTGACATGTTATTTTACACGGGTGGTATTTGGTGAGGAATCAATTCGGTGATGTTCAGATCGGCTTGCGCGCGATCATCACAAGCCCCAGCTCACGCCATACATAGCTTGGAGTTTTCCTGCCTATCCTGGGGGAGCTTTATCCCTCCAACACGAAATGGAGTTGGGGGGGGGCATGAACGCACTGTCTGAGGTTGTACTACAATACAGCAGTGCCCGCCGCTTTGCCGACAGAAGCAAAAATCTCTCTCTCTCTCTCTACATCTGCCCAAACCCTTCCGTCGCAAGACCTTTCCCAGATATTGCTCACACGGAAAGACCCTGTTGTGATTTGCTGTTGTTGGCGTTATCTTCACCAACCAACCGTGGTCCCAATTTTGACCATAAACTTGTATATTCCGGCGGAATCAACGGACGCGGGCGCTTTCCGTGTTGAAATATTTTCGTTCAAACTTTGACCCAAACAAGGGAATAATAGTGAAGTACACACACCGGAACCAACCAAAGAAGTCGGCACCACCATTCTTTCATCAATAATTCCACACACGTTTGAGTTCTTACACAACGGTCATGCCATCAGGATCTCACATCGCCTGCACCTAGTTGTTCTTGTTGCCAAATAGTAGTGCTTTCACAATGGTACCTTAGCACGATACGGTTCCATTGATCCACTCAAACATCCACCAATCCTACTACCCAAGTCAACTCCTGGGATCTGCCCATCCTACGCTGCTTGTCCTTTCAACCGCGGTAGCCGAACCATGCTCGTCAGTTCCCATACCTCACTCTCTCTGCTGCACGCACCGGTCTTGGGTGGCTGGTCCATTTACAGTTTTCCAGAAAACCCGCAGTGACCATTCGCCCCACTAGGGGGAGGGCCTACACTTAACGGAGTCAGTATCGGGTATGAGTTTCACTCATTCGCTGGATGCTCTACTTCATGCAGCTCGAGCCTGCCCCGCTGAACCAGCACCCCTCCCTCCCGTACTACACACACACTGATTCGCCACCCTCGGGATGAAGCACCTTGCAGAAGATGGCGCTATCCTTAGACTCAGACTTGCGATGTCCTCATCAACCTATACTCGCCGATCTACATTGACCACTGCGAAACGTTGGGAAAAACCTTCACGCTTCAACTCCACGAGGGGGATTGGAAAGTGTTCAACTATTGAAATCACCGTTTTGACGAAGGGTTCCTCAAGTGCCTTTGCCTATGAAGGGGTACTCGAAAAATGCACGGGGCTGTGGCGCCGGGGTCGGAACAAAATTGACCGTGGTGTTTGAGAACGCCGCCCACGCAGCAGTCATCTCCGGTCAGCCCGTCCGGTTTGTTCCGGGAGCATCCCTTGCCGCCACACTGCCCGCACGCGAGCTGAAATTGTGGGGGAGGAACACGCGAGCACAATTCGGGGATAGCTCAGGTTGGTATTCACAAGGATATGATCACAACACCTACATATTGTCTGGCACGGCCCAAAGAACGACGAAAGAGGGAGCCGCGTCATGCGTTCATACACTAGCGTTAGATCCTTGCAACAACCCACGTTGGAACAGTTCTCACCGGGCAACAGACGGAGCTGCTGTAGAGTTCTCCTACGATGCCGGGGGGGCCGTTGATGCCGCAATGGCGACCGCCTATCGTGTTTGAGATCGTGCACAATGACAAAAATAGTTGGTGAGAGTAACCCGCTACCGTCCCATGCGAGGCGCTCCCAGGAGCTCTTTCGAATTGAACAACCGGGAAACAAACAGAGACTCTCTATCAAACAAACGTGTAATCACGTGCGATGCCAACGGAGGGGAGATGTGGCACCGTATGGTGATGCGCGGGCTCACGATGTGGTATGTATTGAGTATTATTTGAAGGTCAAATACCTGTGAACTTCTGCTTCGACTTCAGCTTAGGCGTGACCTTCGTTGTGGTGGGCCCTAACCAATTTGGCGGACGAGCACGAACGGAAGGAGGAGAAAGCGAAGGTAGACGTGTGAAAATGGAAACAGATTGGTATCCCGAGAGTTCGCGTGGGCAATCGAAGGCACACGGGCGTCATCCTGTGCCAGGCGTTTCTCTGGCGTGTTCCCTCTTTCCGTGAAAGGGCTCACCGTCGATGATACACGGGGCTGTGCAGCCAGACTCAGAGCAATGCGGCTGGTGGTCGAGGACGCCGCTGATGCAGCAGTCGGTACCGGTCAATCCGTCCGGTTTGTTCTTGCTGCAATTGCGGCCCCCACACGTCCCGCATCCAAGCTGTTGGTGCGGAAGAAAACACGAGGAGGCGTGCACGGTACGGGTAACGTATCTTGACAGTCAATACTGCGCCAAAGGCGCACCAAAGTGGCGGGCAACGGGCGACGGAAGGTGTGCTTGGTGTCGCCGTTGACTTGCTGGCAGTGAAGGCCACACAGCACGCTACTTGTTAAACTTGAGAAATTACTCCTCGTTACCGGACAGCAGACGGTGCCCTTGGCGCTCATGCCGACGATTCCCGCGATGTGCGCGTACATGCCGCACGTCTCGCCCCCTGTGCACCAGGAGTCATTGGGGGGGGGGTCCACGTTCGTTGGCCAAGGGAAAGTAGTGATCGTGCGGGTTGCTGATCAGTGTGTGTGTCCGTATCTCTTTTCACTCCGAAGCCGTGGGGGACGAGCGAGCGACGCTTGTCTGTGTGTGAATATGAAAAACTTGATGCGTACGAGGGACGGCCCTCTCTCGACAAGGTACTTCCAGATTTGCCTTTTCCACGGAATATCGTTCACCGTACTTCCCGGGGGAAGCACACGTCCGGTAAGTCGCTACTCAACGCGATTTTACCTGACGTAGGTCTTGGTTCAGGTGTGGGCTTCGTTTCCTCTAGATGCAGGAGGCAGGGCCACGCGCGGGTGATTTGTTGTTATTTGTGGTTGTTGGAGGGATCCGAAGAGAGTGTGGGACGAACGGAAGGAGATGAAGGTGTAATGTCAAGTTGTTGCTGCGCAGGTCGAGACACACGCAGTTGCTCCCTACGTTTCGCCGACGTCTCCAACACTCTCTCCATGCAAGGGCTCACCGTCGATGATACACGGGGCTGTGGCGCCAGGGTCGGAGCAACGTTGTTGGCGTTCGAGTATGCCGCTCACGCAGCAGTCGTCACCGGTCAATCCGTCCGGTTTGTTCTTGGAGCATCCCTTGCCGCCACACTGCCCGCAAGCGAGCTGTTTCGGTACGAGGAGAACATACGTGACCAGATCAGAATGACTGAGGTTTTGGTGCTTACAACGCACAAGCCAATCACGAGCGCCTAGACAATATGTCCGGAACTGCACGAAGGGCGACGAGAGTGTGTCGCGATGCGCCATGCCATGTGCTGGTGATGCACTCGTGAAGTCCAAGCCTTGCAACTACCCACGTGGGAGGAGCTCTCACCGGGCAACAGACGGAGCCGCTGTCGTTGCCTCCCACGATGCCGGGGGGGGCGTTGATGCCGCATTGGCGACCACCTGTGTCGTCAGCGATCGGTCACGACGATATCATTTTTAGGTGGGAGCAACGGGCCATTTCACCTCGCGAATCTAGAGAGACGCCAGCTTGGCGTTCGTCGGTAGCTCCTCCAAATCGAAGGTCTGATGATCACAACAATTTCTAGCACATTCGATGCCAACGGACGGCAGTATGTGATACCGTGCGTGATGCGCGGACTCACTCACGTGGTAGGATACATCAGGGCAATGTGAGCATGTGAGCATGTGAGCATCGGTTACCTGTAACGGGCTTCTTCGGCCTCGTCGTGGTCTTCTTTCCGATGGGCCCTGAAGAGTGGATAGATATTCGAGCATACATGGAAGGATGGGTGGGCGAAGGTAGACAAAGGTGGACGAACGGACATCGGTATCCCGACCGTTCAATTTGGCAATCGGAGGCACACGGGCGTCATCCTGTGCCAGGCGTTTCCCTGGCATGTTCCCTCTTTCCGTGAAAGGGCTCACCGTCGATGATACACGGGGCTGTGCTGTCAGGCTCAGAGCAATGCGGCTGGTGGTCGAGGACGCCGCTGATGCAGCAGTCGGTACCGGTCAATCCGTCCGGTTTGTTCTTGCTGCAATTGCGGCCCCCACACGTCCCGCATCCAAGCTGTTGGTGCGGAAGAACACACGAGGAGGTGTGTACGGTACGGGTAACGTATCTTGACAGTCAATACTGCGCCAAAGGCGCACCAAAGTGGCGGGTATCGGGCGACGGTGTGCCGCAGTATGTTGCGCATCGCCGTTGACTTGCTAGCAGTGAAGGCCACACAGCACGCTACTTGTTAAACTTGAGAAAATACTCCTCGCTACCGGACAGCAGACGGTGCCCTTGGCGCTCATGCCGACGATTCCCCCGATGTGCGTGTACATGCCGCACGTCTCGCCCCCTGTGTAGCAGGAGTCAATGGGGGGGGCTCCACGTTGTTCGTCGGCCAAGTGATATCATGCTTGAATATTGTGTGGAACGGTAGGTGTGAACCCATAAGTCTTTCACTGCGAACCGTTTGTGCACAAGCGAGCAACGCTGCTCTGTGTTGGAAGAGATACATTATTTTCGCACTGTGGGACGGCCCCCTACCCTAACATGGCGCTCCCAGGGGCGTGTTCTCCACAGGATATCGAACAGTGATGTACTCCTGAATACACTGCTACTCTATCATGATTTACCTGGCGAAGGCGTAGGGTCAGATGTGGGCTTCGTCTCGTCTAGACGCAGGAGGCAGGGCCACACATGTTGGCATTTGTGAGTTATTGCAGCGTCCGAAGGAAAGGGAACGAAGGTGTCATGTCCGGAGGCAACGAAGGTGTGATGGGCAGGTCAGGACAGAAGTAACGGAACTCGAAGAGGTGCACACACACTACTGGATGGAGCTGCATGACAGAGAAACCCTAAGGGAGCACGCGATTGAAGAACAGCGTACGTCGAGACACTATTATAGCTACAGAGGTGTTCACAATATACAATAAAAAAACAAGGCCATACTGCTGTATTTGGAGTTACGTGGTCTTTGCATCCGTCGACTTGATTTGTGCTTCGTATACATAGTAGTCTAGGCTGTGTGCATGCAGTGACGAACACATTCTTGGCTCTCGAAATCTTCATGCAATTCAACCTACAGTATCGATAGTACTGTACGCATGTAGCCTGTTGAATGTCCCGATGGGATCTACCCTCGATGATGCACGGGGCTGTCGCGCCCGGCTCGGAGCAGTAAAGCTGGTTTCTTAGGACGACACTGATGCAGCAATCCCCCCTGGTCAATCCGTCCGGCTTGTTCTTGCCGCATCCGCTGCCGCCACACCTTCCGCATCCAAGCTGTTTGTAGGGGGTGCATGGGGGAGGTGACGGCGGTGGACGTAACTGGCGAAAACATCAATCTCGCGAACATTACCTTTGACACGCCAACGAGCCGGATCTGGGCATGGCACGTGAGTCGTTAGTGATCGTCTGATAATGAACATCATGTAGCTCACCGGGCAGCAGACGGTGCCGTTGTCATTCGCGCCGACGACCCCTTCAATGTCCGTGTACATGCCACACATCTCGACCCCTGTGCATCAGGAGTCAATCGGCCGAGCCGGTGAAGGCAAAGTCGCGATCCTCATGGATTGCTGCTGAACGGTGTGCATGATTAGATACGTCATTCACTCTGAAGCTTTTGCGGACGAGCGGGCAGCGCGGCTCGGTGTATGAAGCGATAGACATGTACGCATCGGGGACGGCCCCCTATCCCTCGACTTGACACGCCCAGATACGCCTTTCCCAAAAGACAACATATGCCGTACTGTCCAGGTGATGCACAACTGAGTACTTGCTACCCAACTTATTTACCTGGCGCAGGGGAAGGTTCAGGGGTGGGCTTCGCCTCCTCTAGATGCAGGAGCATGGCAGGCACACGGATCCGAACGAAAGGGAACGAGCTTTAGTAATGTTGTATGGTCTTGCAGCCGCCGCCGATTTGTACAAGCTGTGAGGTGTGCAGTAACAAAACATGTGGTTGACTATCGGATATGTAGCTTTTTGGATTTCCCGATAGGGCCAACCTTCGATGATGCACGGGGCTGTCGCGCCTGGCTTGGAGCAGTAAAGCTTGTTTCTAAGGACTCCCCTGATGCAGCAATCCCTCCCACCCAATCCGTCCGGCTTGTTCTTGTAGCATCCGCTGCCACCACACCTCCCGCATCCAAGCTGTTGGTAGGCAGCGTGATAGGCGAACGTATCAATCTCGCGAGCCTTTACGTTTCACACGCTAGCAAGCCGGATGCGACCATTACGCGTCAGGCATTGATGCACGTCAGATAGTAAACATCATGTGAGGTCAGTGCCGGAGGATCCGAGATTTTTGGGGGTGGAGTGGCAAAAATGTAGTAATCCTCACCGGGCAGCAGACGGTGCCGTTGTCATTTATGCCGACGATTCCTTCAATGTCCGTGTACTCGCCGCAAGTCGCTTCCGCTGTGTTGCAAAAACCACCCGGTCGAGTTCCACGTTCGTACGACAATATTAGGGTGGAGATCCTTGGAGTGTCTGCCGCGCGAGAGCAGGCAATGCGGTATCCCTGTGCAACGAGAGCTTGCGTGAGCGCGGTGCCGCAACCCTGTTCCTCGACATGGCCTCCCTGATGAACTACATGAAACATTCTGCACCATCAACGGAACATTACGTTTGCCATTACCGTTTTCTGCCGAGTGTCGTTACCTGACGTAGGTGTAGGGTCGGGTGATACATGTCGAACAGGTGTGGGCTGAAGCGTGGGCGCGGGCGTCGGCTGAAGCGTGGGCCCGGGTGTGGGGTCAGGCGTCAGTTCTTCTTGCGCGGGCGCGGGCGCCGGCTCTTCTTGCGTGGGCGCAGGTGTGGGCTCCGTTCCCTCTGGACGTCGTTGGCAGTTGGTGAGGGGCGCGACGGGGGTTAGACAATAATCGAAAGGATACGGAGGATTTCGTCGTGTTCAGGGGCAGGTAGGGACTCACGCATTCGTGAATAGGCATTACGTGTGCAATCTCAAAGACACACATGAGGCCAAGCGCGAGAACGGTGGGCGGATACATCATAGTACTGCGAGTAGTTCGACTCGACGAATGCAGCTGCTGGATGCTCCCTACCTGGCGCAAGTGTCGGGTCGAGCATCAGATCATGGGTGGGCTCAGTCGTTGACTCAAGGGTTGGCGCTTGCGTTGGCACCGGTGCGGGATGAAGTGTGGGCACCGGTGTGGGGCGGAGCGCGGGCGCCGGCGTTGGCGGAAGCGTGGGCGCGGTTGTGGGCTGAAGCGTGGGCCCGGGTGTGGGATCAGGCGTCAGCTCTTCTTGCGTGAGCGCGGGCGCCGGCTCTTCTTGCGTGGGCGCGGGCGCCGGCTCTTCTTGCGTGGGCGCAGGTGTGGGCCCCGTTCCATCTGGACGTCGTTGGCAGTTGGTGACGGGCGCGACGGGGGTTGGACAATAATCGAAAGGATCTGCACACGGAGGATTTCGTCGTATTCAGGGGCAGGTAGGGACTCGCGGATTCGTGAATAGGCATTACGTGTGCAATCTCAAAGACACACACGAGGCCAAGCGCGAGAACGGTGGGCGGATACATCACAGTACTGCGAGTAGTTCAACTCGACGAATGCAGCTGCTGGATGCTCCCTACCTGGCGCAAGTGTCGGGTCGAGCATCAGATCATGGGTGGGCTCCGGCGTTGACTCAAGGGTTGGCGCTTGCGTTGACACCGGTGCGGGATGAAGTGTGGGCACCGGTGTGGGGCGGAGCGCGGGCGCGGGCGTTGGCTGAAGCGTGGGCGCGGTTGTGGGCTGAAGCGTGGGCCCGGGTGTGGGGTCAGGCGTCAGCTCTTCTTGCGTGGGCGCGGGCGCCGGCTCTTCTTGCGTGGGCGCAGGTGTGGGCTCCGTTCGCTCTGGACGTGTTTGGCAGTTGGTGAGGGGCGCGACGGGAGTTGGACAATAATCGAAAGGATCTGCACACGGAGAATTTCGTCGTATTCGCGGTCAGGTAGGGACTCGCGCATTCGTGAATAGGCATTACGTGTGCAATCTCAAAGACACACATGAGGCCAAGCGCGAGAACGGTGGGCGGATACATCATAGTACTGCTGGTAGTTCGACTCGACGAATGCAGCTGCTGGATGCTCCCTACCTGGCGCAAGTGTCGGGTCGAGCATCAGATCATGGGTGGGCTCCGGCGTTGACTCAAGGGTTGGCGCTTGCGTTGGCACCGGTGCGGGATGAAGTGTGGGCACCGGTGTGGGGCGGAGCGCGGGCGCGGGCGTTGGCTGAAGCGTGGGCGCGGTTGTGGGCTGAAGCGTGGGCCCGGGTGTGGGGTCAGGCGTCAGCTCTTCACGCGTGAGCGCGGGCGCCGGCTCTTCTTGCGTGGGCGCAGGTGTGGGCTCCGTTCCCTCTGGACGTGTTTGGCAGTTGGTGAGGGGCGCGACGGGGGTTAGACAATAATCGAAAGGATATGCATACGGAGGATTTCGCCGTGTTCAGGGGCAGGTAGGGACTCGCGCATTCGTGAAAAGGCATTACGTGTGCAATCTCAAAGACACATACGAGGCCAAGCGCGAGAACGGTGGGCGGACATCATAGTACTGCGAGTAGTTCGACTCGACGATAGCAGCTGCTGGATGCTCCCTACCTGGCGCAAAGTGTCGGGTCGAGCATCAGATCATGGGTGGGCTCCGGCGTTGACTCAAGGGTTGGCGCTTGCGTTGGCACCGGTGCCGGATGAAGTGTGGGCACCGGTGTGGGGCGGAGCGAGGGCGCGGGCGTTGGCTGAAGCGTGGGCGCGGTTGTGGGCTGAAGCGTGGGCCCGGGTGTGGGGTCAGGCGTCAGCTCTTCATGCGTGGGCGCGGGCGCCGGCTCTTCTTGCGTGGGCGCAGGTGTGGGCTCCGTTCCCTCTGGACGTCGTTGGCAGTTGGTGACGGGCGCGACGGGGGTTGGACAATAATCGAAAGGATCTGCACACGGAGGATTTCGTCGTATTCGCGGTCAGGTAGGGACTTCGCGGATTCGTGAAAAGGCATTACGTGTGCAATTTCAAAGACACACATGAGGCCAAGCGCGAGAACGGTGGGCGGATACATCATAGTACTGCGAGTAGTTCAACTCGACGAATGCAGCTGCTGGATGCTCCCTACCTGGCGCAAGTGTCGGGTCGAGCATCAGATCATGGGTGGGCTCCGGCGTTGACTCAAGGGTTGGCGCTTGCGTTGACACCGGTGCCGGATGAAGTGTGGGCACCGGTGTGGGGCAGAGCGCGGGCGCGGGCGTTGGCTGAAGCGTGGGCCCGGGTGTGGGGTCAGGCGTCAGCTCTTCATGCGTGGGCGCGGGCGCCGGCTCTTCATGCGTGAGCGCGGGCGCCGGCTCTTCTTGCGTGGGCGCAGGTGTGGGCTCCGTTCCATCTGGACGTCGTTGGCAGTTGGTGACGGGCGCGACGGGGGTTGGACAATAATCGAAAGGATATGCACACGGAGGATTTCGCCGTGTTCAGGGGCAGGTAGGGACTCGCGGATTCGTGAATAGGCATTACGTGTGCAATCTCAAAGACACATACGAGGCCAAGCGCGAGAACGGTGGGCGGATACATCATAGTCTGCTGGTAGTTCAACTCGGCGAATGCAGCTGCTAGATGCTCCCTACCTGGCGCAAGTGTCGGGTCGAGCATCAGATCATGGGTGGGCTCAGGCGTTGACTCAAGGGTTGGCGCTTGCGTTGGCACCGGGGCGGGCAGAAGTGTGGGCACCGGTGTGGGGCGAAGCGCGGGCGCGGGCGTTGGCTGAAGCGTGGGCGCGGTTGTGGGTTGAAGCGTGGGCCCGGGTGTGGGGTCAGGCGTCAGCTCTTCTTGCGTGGGCGCAGGTGTGGGCTCCGTTCCCTCTGGACGTAGTTGGCAGTTGGTGAGGGGCGCGACGGGGGTTGGACAATAATCGAAAGGATGTGCATACGGAGGATTTCGTCGTATTCGGGGTCAGGTAGGGACTCGCGCATTCGTGAATAGGCATTACGTGTGCAACCTCAAAGACACATACGAGGCCAAGCGCGAGAACGGTGGGCGGATACATCATAGTACTGCTGGTAGTTCGACTCGACGAACGCAGTTGCTGATTTCTCGCGCCAGGTGTCGGGTCGAGCATCAGCTCATGGGTGGACTGAGTCGTGGGCGCGGGTGTTGGCTGAAGCGCGGGCTCAGGCGTTGACTCAAGGGTGGGTCTTGCGTGGGCGCGCTTGTGGGCTGAAGTGTCGGCACCGGGGTGGGGTGGAGCGAGGGCGCCGGCGTTGGCTGACAAGTAGGCGGGGACGTCGGCTGAAGCGTGGGCACGGGCGTCAGCTGACGTGTTGGCGCCGGCGTGGGGTGAAGCGTGGGGGCGGGCGTTGACTCAGACGTTTGTTCAGGCGTTGGCCCAGGCGTTGGCTCAGGGGTAGACTCGAGCGTGGGCTCTTGGGTCGGCGCGGGACTCGGCTCAGTGATGGGCTCTGGTGTGCGCTCCATCTCCTCTGGACGTGGTTGTTGGTTGTCGGACGAGTGGAAGGGGAGGATTGAGGCGAATGAAACGAAGCGGAGGAAACTCGATGTGGTCGGGGGCAAGCAGCGACTGGCGCATGCGGAGAAGGCGAGGAATTCGCACTCGCAAAGACGCTCACTGCTCTTCGTGAGAACGGTGGGAAGAGAATCGCTCGAAATTGCGAACGGTTTGCTCGTCGAGAACGAGACGGGCTGATACAGGTGCGAGGGACATCAGATTGCACGCGATTGTCACTGGGGTGTGCTCGGCATCGACGGGGCTCACCTTCGATGACGCACGGAGCAGCGGCGCCTGGTTCAGAGCAAGATCCCTTGTGTTTGAGGACGTCGCTAGCGCAGCACTCATCCCTGGTCAATCCGTTCCGCCTCCTTCTGCGACACCTTCTGCCACCACACTCCCCGCACGCGAGCTGTACGAAGGGAGGGGCACGCGCGAAGAAGGTCAACGAAGTGCGTATTATGGTGTGAGAAAACGACATCAATCTCGCGGCCCGGGAAGGACTTTGATGACAAACGATGGTGAACAATTGCCAGGCACTTGTCGTCTGATCGAGACTGTCACGTGACAGCTCGTATCACATTGTGAACTCTCACCGGGCAGCAGGCGGTGCCCTTGGCGGTCTTGCCGACGAATCCTTCGATGTCCGTGAAAACGCCGCAAGTCTCTCCACCTGTGTCAGGTGTCGATTCGGTCGGGTTTCATACTCGCATGTCAAAGGCAGAGTTGTACTCACACACGACTGCGAGACCGTGAGTGAGTGCGGTCATCGTTCATCACTCCAAAGCACGTACGGCCGAATGGGTTACGCGGCTTCGTTGTGCAAATTATGGAACAATGTGCGGACATCCGGTGAGAGATGCAGTGCCTCTCTCGACGTGGCAGCGTCGGGTGCATGACGAACATACATATTTCTGGTCCATTATTGCCTGTGAAGACAAGAGCCGAACGAGAGCATCTACGGGATATTGCAAAATTTCCGCGAGGTTTGCCAATATTCAGTGGTAGCCACCTGGTTTAGACTTCCGGTGGGGCGTGGGTCCAGGCGCCGTCCTCGCTTCTGGAAGTAGGAGACCCAGATTGACGAACGTGAGGTTTGTTCATCGTGAGAGGAATCCAGCCCGGGTGCGCGTCGAATCAAACAACAACGCAAGACGTGCGATACAGTCGGGGGTGGAATGGACTAGTGCTTTCGAGCACGCGCGAGGTGTAAGTGCAACACACGGGGTTGCGCGAGAGAGACGGAGTACAGCCAATGTCGGCCGGCTTCCTAGGAGGCAAGCCTTGATGCGTACCGTATTTCTCGTCCTGCTTTACGTCATGTACGCTCGATGTAAACACGGGATCAATGGCTTTCCTTCCACGGCCGTTAAAAGTCTGTTGCAAGTTCGACGGCAAGCTAACTCAGCAAGCAAGTAGGGCTATCTAGCGGGACTACGAGCGCCGGAAAGACGAGCTTACCGCAAGTGTAGCCTCGAGTCCCAGGGCAGCAACTGGTCTGCTTAGGGCAGAAGACGGCCTTGGCAGGGGTGCACTCTGTCGTCAACAAGCGGTCGTTCGCATCACCGGTGGAGGAGGAAGCCGTTCTGTATGCCGCAAACGCGCCAGCAACGCAACGCAACGCAACGGCGACAACAACGGCATTGACAAAACCCCAAAACACAGCAAATTCTCGAACTTTTCCCCGACCGTAGACCTCCTCCCGAAACTCCACACCGCAACAATACTACTGTACTGTAGAAGGGCAAATATCACACGAAAAATCACACTCACTACAGGTGCCGTTCCTGATAGACTCGTCAGCAAGGTAGATGTTATCGGCAGTGCTGAGCACAAGCCGACCGGCCAGGAAGGCATACAAGGGACAGCGGGAGAGAGCAGAGAGCAGTGGTATTTGTCATGAGATGGTGCATCTTGTAAGGGCATGCAGGCCTTCGTGAGCTTAGAACCCCAAACGCAACGCGTAGATAGGATATAAGCGAATAACTTCACAGGCAGGAAGCAAGCACGTTCTGGGGTGTGTTAAATTACCTGTTTGTCCAGTTGTGTAGGGCTGTATGGTCATCATTCAGCTTTTCCATCTCACCTGTCAGGAAGGCACTGCATGTTGAACATGCCGTCACCATGCAACCACCTGCCGCCAAAGCCCCATCCCAAGCGAAAAGCACAGACAAGAAGTGGTTGCGTGAGACGGAACGGGATGTTTGCGATGCCAATACTCGCCGGGTAGTCCGTCGAGGGTGCCAGTGAACAGGAAACTTGGTAGAAATTCTCTCTATTGAAGCGATGTCAATAGGCAACTCAGTTGTAGCGCTTTCACGGATTAGAAGTGAAGTCATGAAGTCGACGTTCTAGGAAACACGGAGCAGCACTATGTAGTTTAAATAACTATCAGAAAGGAATACTATTCACGAAGACGCCACCCTCTACTCCATCACTAAGAAGCAACCCGTATTTCTCTCCCTGTCTGTCTCCTGTTGTTCTCTCTAACCAAAACCTTCTCTTCCAAGAGGAAGAGGTCGATGATCTGATAAACCGACCAACCAGGCAGGTAGAATTTACTTGCTTCGACGGTGGGGTGGTCTTACATGTTCTGGAGCGATGTCAGCGGCTCGAAGATGCTGGCAGGAAGGGTCGTGAGCGAGTTGTACTGAAGAGGTCTATTCGACGAAAGAGCAAGCCGAACAGCGGCGAACGCGGCGGTGGATTCCAAAGACGCAGCAATTGGATGGGTGGTCACGACTGTGTTGTACAATCAAGTCGAGGACACAGGTGGACCATACCTCCTTCCTTAATCGAAGCTGCAACAAGGTTACATTGTGGCATACCAGTTTCGCAACAAGCAGTTCACGAGCTTTGAAATACTTTGATCGCAGCGACGGCGACTCGTTCAACCGTTTCACCGACTCGAAGACAGCACCCCCCAAGTACCGCAACACATACTGCTGGCTACCCATCCATTCGCCAGCCACTGTCGACAACGCCGTATGACCTTGCCAAGCGCCATCTCGACACGACAACATCGACCGAACACCGATGCTTCGAGCTTGACATGACCATTGTCTGTCACTCCCTCGTGAAGGAAATAAAATTAATGTGACCTCACAATGTGACGACTTTGGTGAGCCCATGGAAGGTCCCAAGCTGCAGCGCGGTCAGGCCATTGCCACTCAGATCTCTGCCAACACACAACAAGCGAGGAGCGCACAGGATGCATGCAAATAAAGCTTGCTTATTCACGGCGCGTTGTATCTCGTACCTCCCTATAATCTCCGCATCGACTATTTATCACAAGTCCCATAACGGGGAACAAATATCGTGTGGTGAGGCGTAAGCACTAGAGAACGAGCGATAGTCCGGGAGGGTGGAGGCGAAATGGTAGGCATCGTAGCTTTCTGTTTCCTGTGTAGGAAATCTTCATCCGTACATGTATGCCTTTTTTCAATACCTCGTTGGTTTCCGAAGAAGTCCGTGTGAAGAGAATCTCTCAACGTCCTGTGACTTGCTCTCCATCACTCTGTAGTATGAACCTGAAAAATGAATGAACCGTTGGGTAAGAACATGCCGAACTTGAAACTCGCTTGAGCATCCACTCACAATTCTGTGACTTCCGTGGTGTCCTGGAACAGTCCAACGGGAATCGAACGCAGTTTCGGGATGTTCTGGATCTTCCTGTAATGGTGGCGTAGCCGAAAGGAAACGGGGCGTGGGCACAGTGATGTTTTGCGAGGAGGTATGAAAACCCAACACCTTGCATGCATTTCTCGGTGTTGCCAATGCCAATGAGTAAGCGTAAAGGTGGCGTAAATGTGAAAACCCAGCAAACAAGAAGATGTGTATAGTAGCGCTATGCCCTCCAAAGCCTGGTGAAGCACTGAACTCACAAATAGGTTAGGCCGGAGAGGCCCCTGAACAGGTCCGCAGGCAGCCAAGTCAGCTCCGGGCAGAACTGAACGTGCCTAAGGTTAGAAAAAGAAGGCCAGAATTGCAGGAGTACAGCAAGATTGACAGCGCGAGTGCTCTCGATTTTTCAAACAACGACAACCGCAGATGCCCGTTGACTTTCACAGGCACATGAGTCAGAGTAGCGCCAGAAAGATGGGACAAGGTGACAGGAAAGTAATATCGTAGTCTATGTATTCAACAACGTGTTCGAGCATAACTAATTTTGAAGGAGGCCATTGAAAAAGGTCACATATCTTCCCAAAGTACGTTGAGAAATATCACTCTTTTCACATGATTTCGCGGGAATATAGCAACAGGCGTTAATGTGTTGCTATTTACTCGCCGCAGGCAAGGGCTTTGGAGAAAACGATATTTCCGATCTTTTTTTCTACGAGAACCGCCCCTGAAGAACGAAACTCACAGCGCACGCAGCGAGCCGGCGACGTCATCGAAGACTCCGACCTCAAGCGTCCGAATCTCGACGCCGCCTACCATCCTGTTTGAATAGAAACATCCAGAATTTCGCCCGAAAGCAAAATCATTGGTTCCGATTGCTCGTCATAAGCGTAGGACGGAGTGAAATATTGGTGTGAAGGCCGACGAAGGCGAGTCTGCCTAGAAATGGAACGACCCGACGTGAGCCTCAAACCTTGACAATGATTGATCAAGCTGGACACGTAAGGGGTCAGTCAATCAGAGATGAGAACACGTTTTCGAGTGAGTCGTGTTGGTTGAGCTCGATAATCAAGACTGCGCGAAGAACGGGTGGCAATGGATTGGTGACCTTCGTTGTCTGAAGGCGTGGTTATAAGAATCCGCATTAGGGAACACAGATAGCCCCGTTTCACTTACAGTTTCTCCAAAGCCGGCAGATCTTTGAAGATTCCCGCGGGAATCGTCGTGAATCCTGAGCACTGGGACAAGTCACTGCTCTCCGCGATCGACGTGAACGCAATCGACGCAGAAGAAATCGAGGGACGCATGCAGGTAAACGTGGAAGGCAGAGTTGAAAACGAGTCTGAGGAGGAGAAGAAGGGCAGCGCAGAAGGGGAAATTGGCTGGTTTAGCCAGTCTGACCGAAACAGCCGGCCAGCTGATTCCGTGCCGACACAGTTGAAGGCACTGTCCTACTCGATCATCTCTCGCACATCTCGGTGATACCGTCTCGTCCAGCCGCGTCGAAGCAGGACTGCAGATAGGGGAGGTCAGCATCCACCAGGTTTCCACACGGTTCCGTGGTAGGTCCGCTCCCGAAAAATCTTGACCGCGAGAAAAATCCGGATGCAACAATCACGGCACAATTCAATGAATGTGAGAGAGGGAGGGAGGGGGGGGGCAGAGAGAGAGAGAAAGAGGCATTTGCAGGGTATCTGATACGAATGAAGGTTAGGAGATTCGCCATGCCGGCGAATACTCACCCACATGAAGATGCGTAGTTTGTACTACGAGGCCGGTATCAAGGATGGACGCGCTTTTTAGCGCGAACGGGACACGCTACCTTTTTCTACGTAGACGCGCGGCGAAGGTCAAGTCGCTTCCTTTGGACGTGAGATACGGTCATGCAAAAATCCGGTCGAGTATGCTCATTCAAGCAAACATCGTTGCCTGTCCCGTTGCCTGTCTCTTCGAGAATGCCACGAAATGTCCCACCTAGCGATTCTCAAGATTCAACCGCAACTTTGATTGTCACAACATTGTACCCCAAACCAGCATCACTGCGATGTGGGAAATCTGTCGATCGTTTGTCAGCGAGGTGGGACAGCAATGATATGCAGGAGAGACTTGAAGACATGGCTGCCCAAACGTAGCGTTCCCCGTATCGTCACTATGTAGAAGGATGAGGAAATGATACGCTTACATGTTCGTCGTGCCAGGTGCACACTTGTAGTTCACAGCGTCGGTGACATCCAGGCAAGAGTTCAAACCTGAGAATGATACGTGTGATACGCGTGAATCGTGGTTAACCGTTTTTGAGGATGGAGACCCATTGTACCACATCGTAACAATTCCCAGCCTCAGTGTGTGTGGGGTTGCTCATACGCAAGTGGCATGAGAATTCCACACGTGGACATCGCATGGACGTACAACAGCAACCGGTCAGTACTCTCAGCTTTCCGAAGGCGTTCACGCTGAACTGAACGACGTAGGATCGTGTGTACTCCTGAACAGGGCGCAGCGCGGACATGAAACACCGTCTTGTCAACGCCCGCATCCTCCCTCACCTAGAGCAGATGCTACAAACGTTCATCCTGCCAAGTGCTGTATAAGCTTGCTTCGGGCTGCTGGAACGCGCATGAACTAACTCACCACTTGCCCAGGAGATGGCGAACGCCGCTGTCGCCAGAAGCTTGAACCGCGAAGATGGATGAGAAAGCATTATGCCTATTCAAAAACGGGGGAAGGGGTTCGGGAAGAGGAAGTCAGCTCGTTTCTCTGTGTGCAGCCGGGTGACGTCACCATGGCTCAATTCATCGGTGTAGCCGGGGGTTAGCGTGACACCTTAGCCAAGGTTACAAGCAGATAGATATAATGCGACTGTGACACGCGAACTACAGCAGGGAAATTGAATCAAGGCGGCGACCAGGTTCGAAACGTGGGCCTAGTCTACACAAATGGATGCGGTTTCGTATTTTGAGGCTACGCTTCATTTTTCTGCGCCCCGCATGATGACACACAGGTGAAAGTGGCATCAAACACCACCGAACGCACAGCCAACCCCTGGCTCAGGTGACGAACAGGTTCCGAAGGTCTGCCAGACATTTTGCGTGCAACATTCAAGTGAAAACAATAACCATGGAGGGAAAAAGAGGCGGGGTTGGGGGGCATGAATCGGCGGAAATCACGGTGCGGGAAGGGGTGCTCTGTCCCACGCCCGCGTCGGGAACAAACAGTGCTGTGAACGGGATAAGTGTGTTCGCGATCAGGTACCCATCAAACAGATGGTGGGAGAATGTAACGAGCCAACTAGTTTCTCATTTTCAGAGTTTCTCCGTGTTCGAAAATGTTTTTTCATATACGGAGAAGCACGTACATGTAGCATATTGAACCGAGCTTCTTTACCTCTGCCGTCCTTCAAATATCATTTAACTATATAGGCCAGCCACCAACGGCATTTGTTCAAGGCCAACCATTGTCTGGCATACACACATGAAATGATTTGGGCAGCGCTTGAAGGTTGAGTGCGGCAGCGATTGAAGGTTGAGTGCAAACAGGGCATAGTGGCAGCTTAGAACAACGCTTTTCTCGCGCGGATGCTGCTCTCGCAACCTTGGGCAAGACACAGGTCTGTCGATTTTCTGTCTGCCTCGTACTTCTGTGGGACCACTAGTCTAGTCGTACGCAGTCGAAAATTGTCTGTGTCTATTCCACCTGTACACCACCTACATATCTCACCTCGGTTCGCAAATTTGGGTATTCTCTTGAGTTGGTTCTGGTACAATACAGCGATGTGCAGAGGAAGGCTGTTGTGTGTAAGTGGGGTGGGGTGGCCACGACATGGGCAGGAGACACGGCTGACTCTTTATCCCTGATAATGGTGTTGAACCGAGGAGAGGCTGCTGTCGGTATTTTATCTTGTTGAACCGGACACGGGAACAACCTCTGTTCTTGTTTTTGATGTGAGCAAAGAAACTGTACACAAGTATGGGGTCACGTATGTCGCGTGCATCGTCCTTTGCTATAGACTAATGGTTATCCTAGAGAAAAGGAGATCGTGTACAGTAGCCATCCTGTGGTGGTCTCGTGCCGATTGGAATCTGAGTCCCTTGTAGATCCGTCGCATGTTCACAGTCATCGCCGATCAGCTTTGATCTGTGCCACATCATGCAGCAGCTCGGTTCAACCGCCCAACACTACGTTTAGATGAGCTGGAGATCTCGCTTGAACTTGTATCCGATCGAAACTCTCTGGGCGCATGAAATACGCCTGTACCCCGATCAGATGGGCGGGCGGGCAGTGTCTTGTGTCTTGTGTCTTGTGTCTTGTGCGGCACCTGCGGCGTAATTGGTGTCGGTTCGGCATATATTTTTCGTTTCGAATGCTTACACTGTGGACTAATCGTACGTACACCGACCACGACCACGACAGGTTTCGACTAGATTTTGACGATCTGGACTTCCGTGTACACCCACCCACTCTTCTTCCAGTTTGTAGGTGCATTACCAGCTCGTCGCTGTGACCGGATTGCGCCAAAGGTTCCACATCACTACTGTATTGTCGGCTGTGCTACACGACGTGGACTCGCTGTCGGGGAGCGCTTCCGTTCGTGAGTACATTAGCAGGATGGACGACGAGCTCATGGATTCGATGGGTGGCGGGGGTGGTGGAAGTAAGCGTCAGCATCAGGGCACCAAGTACCATCGAACAATTCAGTCCGATGGGACGTACCTAACCCTGAGACATGCCTTCGGGGTAGAGGGGGGCATCCGGGACAACGTGGCGTTCGTCACAGTGCCGGATCCGGACGCCGAGGGGGCAGGGCTGATGCTCGGATACCTCTTGCATCCAGTCGGTCAGCAGGTGTGCAATAAAAATCCGTAGTTGTGAGAATTTATCCTGCTGTTGGTGCTACTGCTGCAGCTTATGCTGGCGCTGTTGCTGGTCCTAGATTTGCTTGGTATGCCACCACTGCACGGGTTTACCGCGGTTGAGTTCATCCGAAGAAAATGCATGTCGTTCGATCCGGCACAGTGGTAGCATTGCAAGTCCAGCCCAACAAGATCGGCAAATAGCAATGTGCAAGAATGCTTCTTCTGGCAATGGACATTGTATGACTGGCATAAAATCACAACATGTAGCCTTAAAAATGGGTACTGCCAATGCTCTTCGGTGCTTCGAAGACGGCGCGATACTTGTGCGTACAGCACCATATGCGACCAACCAAAACATAGGCCGCTGAGAGGATATGCCAGCGAGACACATTGGCTGAACGTGTTCGGTAATCCAATCAACTCTTGTACATTATGGATGCATGAGGTTTAGATCTGCACAAAAACCCGATTGTAGAGTGTTTTGTATTTTGTCTACATACGATGATGGGTTGTTGTAGCTTCACCCACTGTAATGGTGTGCGTTGCAAAATATATATACGTGCATATGTAACCCGGCGTAGGACAACCTTAGCCAGACGCCGGTAATGGAATGTATCATGTTTGGAAGATGTAGACCGTTGTTTGATTGCACGTCATTAGACTAGCACACCACCCAATGTTTCAACTTTTCAACGGTGGAACTGGGGGGTTATTTAGATCTTACCTTCATTCTCGGTTCTTTGTATAGCATGGTAGTCCTTCAGGCATCGTCGGCCGCTGCTGTTGAAAGGAAAACACAACCCGTTTTCGAGCAGGGGCCGGGGAACCCACCTCGTGACGAGGATTACAATCTGCGTGTCCTGAGGACGGTTCAATAATAGATAATTCATGTTGCCTTCCAGATTCCGGCCGGGAAGAAGGGCCGGTTTGTTGAAGGCGCACGTAGACAACAAACCGTTTTCGTGGAAAATCTTTGAAAGTCCAAGGCCATGGCGCGTGTGGTAAGGCACGCGGGAAACGCGTTAACGCCGCAGACTCCCATACTTTGAAACCGCTCGACCCACCTGTCTGTGATGGTGTACAGGTAGCCATGCACCGCGTGGATGACGGCAGCATGAAATTCCTCGTCAGTCGTCAGAGAAACGTGCGAGAAATATTAGCACTGTGCGTTTCGCCCAACAAGCGGGTCATTGCCGTCTGCGAGAAAGGCCGGACCCCCGAAGAGGATCCGGGGAGCGCTCAGGTGCGCCATGCGAACGCGGTGACTCTAAAACCTTTGCAGCTCAACGTCAGGCTTGTTGGAGTATCTCCCTCCCATTCGCACGGACCGGCAGATGACCACCACGGTTTACCAACAGCGTAAACGTACGCTGCTGGTGGTGTTCTTGCAAGATTCGATCGGTTTTCTCACAACGGAGCAGAGGGGGCAAAATCGTTGCGACGTGGTGAAACGCATGTGGGAGGGTTTCGTTTTGGCTCGCTTCTTGCACCAAGACGTTGGTCGTCGACGGGGCACGTGCACTTGTTTCCATTCACTCCTTTGCAGATGGAAAAAAATGGAGCGCTACTTTCGATATATCACATTTCTCATGCAGCATCGCTATCTCATCGTTTTGTCCACACATCTATCTAGGGGCTTTCGATGTAGTAGAAGATCAAAGGGGGAATATTCTATCTCGTGCAGGAAGCACAAACTGCTGGTATCTGTTTGATTGGAGTCGCCCCCTCGGGCACCACAGTCAGTCAGTGTTCACCGCATGGCTGAGTTTCGTAAGGAATGCCGAGCGCTGAAGTTCTATAGTTTCAGATGTGACACCGAAGACTTCGAATGGATACCTCTCACACGCTGCTTCTCGCATGATATTTTGTTATGCGCTCGCGGATGGGTATTGCTCCCGAAGCTTAATTTTCGTTGATACAATTGTACGTGAGCGGAACGTCTGACACTTTCTTGCTGAAGAGGATGGGAGAGTTGCAGAACCCTTCTCGCGGTGGTATTTGGAGTCATGGACCACAGAAGATTCATGCTGTGTGGCCCGAATCGTAGCTCCTCAGAATACCGACCGAGATCGTAGGGATGTAGTAGTGAGAGCGACCGTCGTAGATGGGAAATGGGCGGGAACTGCAGCATAGGCATGGTCTTCCTCGCGAGGTTTGTGCCTATGCCGCAGTGATGTGTGATTTTTCGGCCGTCAAAGCAATGAGAGTGCCAGATCCACATGGCATCAATTCCATGCTATTGGCTGCCACCAAACAACGTTTTGGGGGCAGCATCGTAGTTCTTTGTCTGAAACAGTTCCGGGGAGACATCGTACTTCACGCGCTGAGTTCCGTACTGGACACAACGTCAAGTAGAGGTCAAGGCCACCCTTTTCAAGACATGGACTCAATCCGAGCCAAACTTGTGTGCACACCGTCAGGTGTCGGTTTACCTCGTGGCGAACGGGAAACGAATCCGAACGATGCTGTTCCCCGGAAGGGGAGACTTCATAACGTGTTGCTTTTCGGGGGACAGCAAATGGCTCGTGACTGCCGCAACCGAGCCTGAGAGCAATATCGTGGTCTGGAACTGGGAAAAGGAGAAGGTGCGAAACAAGTTCATTTCTACGACGTTTGGGCCAAAATTGAGGGTGGGGTGGGCACGACGTTGCCGCTTTCACGCTCATGGAATGCACACGCGCGCACGTTCCTTGTGAGTGAGTGCGTGCGCGCGCTGGTTTCGTCGACGGTTTCGTCCGAGTGCGCTCCTAGGCTCGCTGCAGCTATGGCGCCGGCTAGAGCACGGTAACGAGGTCCAAGATCTTCCACGAGACAACACTGCCGTCACGTCCATCGACTCAGCTTGTTCTTATTCGGGAAAACCCGTCCCAAACCAACAAGACGCGGAGCAGCGGTAACCATGTAGCAAGGCTGCTTGCTCATGGTGCCGGATTGTATTACCAATCGGGGTGGATTTTTGTCCGATTTCTCCCTTTCAACCGTCACCAGAACTGAAAGCGGACACTGTTATCAATATTATTAACATATCCGGAGCAGCGTATGCTCATTCCGACCAAAACGCACGGCAGGTAGACAAAACCGCCCAAAACAGCGGTTCCTCCGCCACCCGGGTGGCGTTCCACCCAGGGGACCACGGCTTCTTTACTACGAGCGGGGCGCAGCACCTGCGGCTGTGGTATACCTCGTCCGATAACGTACTCAAGGCCCACGGGATCCTGCCGCAGGCAAAGGAACAGGCGAGCAAAAGGCGTCGGTCAATGTCGTGTTTTTTTCTGTGTGATCCGCGTGGAATATTTGTGCGCGTTCGATTGTGTTGCATGGGTCCTGGCGCCCTCATCACGCCAACTTGCACTTCGAAGTACAGTAGTGCAAGTTCGATAGTAACCGTAGGCGTGTTGCATTTTTGATGCCCAGAGCCACGTAATCGAGGCAACCTTCCAACGGCAGGGCACATTTTTCAAAAACCACTTTCAAGGGCATCCTTGCGCAATGTGGCGAGCTTTGTCGGGGCAGTCGGCGCTCTCGTTCATATGCCGGAGAACATCCAGCGAAAAAACATCACCGCCAAGTTTGTTTTTGTCCGTCTTATTCTTGGGAAGGACCGACACCGTTCCTTTTACCTGCTTGGTCCTTGCGGGGTGAAGAATTGCGTGATGGACGCAAACACGCAAGGCTCATCCTATCACCATAGGAACTGCGATGCGGTCCGATTTGGTCTGCTGCAGCGAAATGGTTAGGTGGGTGATGACTCGTCGCGTGCGTGCGGTCCGCCTTGATGCAGGCCCACCACGTCTTCACCGCAGGGCAGGCCTTGTGATGAATGACCACGTGTGTGTGCGCGTACCTTGGCACATCTACAGGGAAATTTTACCGACCACGCCTGGATCCCTGGCACGGCAGGCCAGCCCACCCGGATGGTGGCAATAACAGATGGAGACGACCACGGAGCGTCAAGGTGTGAAGCAGGGGGGACGGGGTGGGGCGGTAGCCCGCACTCAAAGCGAAGGGAGGGACCGGATTAGTGTCGGGAATGTTGGATCTTGGCCGCTCCCGTGCTTCTTTGTTTCGAGGGTGACCTACAATGCTTCCACTGTAACCGTTTGCCCAACGATTGAGCTGCCCGCTTCTCCGAGTTCATCGTTGCACACCATAATTCCTGCTTGTTGAGACATACGAGCCAGTCAACTTGTACCGACCGGCCCATGCACACCCATCCATTCGCCTCCCGATTAATCAACCCACCCCAATAGCTGCATATTTTGCGCAACTGGCCGATGAGAAAAACACCAACCGCGTTGTCGAACAAAACAACTAACCGATCAACCAACCAACGCGCCGTCCGACCTATCAGCGGAGGAGGAGGGGGAGGGATGAACCAGCGCGGGTCCTTAATCCTAGTTTTCGACGCTACGGAGGCCTCCCCATTCCTCGAGCTCAAGCAGACGCTGCACGCGCAGTTGCCGCACACGGCCCGGCTCGAGACGCTCATGCCATTCAGCAAGGGCTTCATTGTGGCCGGTGGAGGGATCAATGGATACCTTGGAGTCTACGAGAACATGGTGTGCTGGCCGTGATAGAGTGGAAGTTGATGATGGTTCACCGGATTCTGCAAGTCGCACGATGTATCGCTTTTCGCTGCGTTCTTCATCGTTGTCGGAGCCAAGACATCCGTTGCTGAACGATTTTCGTTGAGAAGGCGGCAGTCCGTCGGGATGCGAGCCTCCTTTTGAGTTCAGATTCAAAAGTTAGTTAGGTAGAAGTGCTGGCTGGAGGAGGAGACACTCACAGTTCTTTGTCGGCGAATTCATGCCGTTGTCGACTAGAAAAGATTTGAAAGGTATGGAGGAGCTACTGCTCCAGTGTTTGGCCACTTTCAGAGGTAAAATGCGCTCTCACGATGGTCATGTTCTATGCGGAAGAGTCTGAGCATGCCAACTTCATATTGACGCTTTTCATTCCTCTGAACTGTCTCTCACTCTGCCTGTGGGTTTACGCATCAGGGAAGGGGCTAGGCGACCCAATTGTCTGGGGGAGAGCATAGGAGTTTAACCGGCAATACATATGGGCCAATGCCGGATATGTTTTCTAAATCGCCGGTGCAATCGTGATTTCCCGGAGGTTTTCATGTTATTGTAGTCTCCCGTATGTCCACGATACTCACGACAAGCTAGACGCGTGGACATGACCCAATCCCTTTTCAACGCGTTCACTTGTTCTTGTGCTACACGTTGCTCGAAATAATACATGGTGCCAACCAAGTTGGGGCGAACGAACCAGTAGCGAGCTTGCGACTTTCCCGAACACTCGTGGTCCCAATATCCTAAACAGGAAGACCACCGCGACCCGTACATGTGGATCAAAAGCTTTACGGCCAACGGCTCCGTCCTCGAATCGCTCACGCTGAACCGCGGTAGCGAGGTCATGTACGTCTATTCCAGGACCAACGAAATCCTGGTGAGTGCAACTTGTCAAACAGCATATAGTCTAGCAGGTAAAGCTGTGCTGTGTTTCAATTCTGAAGCTTCAGCTTCCAACGAAGTGCTAGAGTTGGTGTACGTGATGGTGGTGTTTTCTGCGTGTTCCCACTAGGTTGGCGTCCCGAACTTCCCGTATTGCCTGGGCCGTGGTGTTTCATGCTCAACGAACAACAAACACACCGGCCGACGCATACAACGAATATCGACATTCTACTTGTATTATTGCTATCTCGCCGCTTCCCAGACGTTCAACCTCGGGAACATGGACGTGCTCGACGAGGGCATCAACCACTTCCACCCGTTGCTGCAGGGGGGTAATCACACATCCCCGGTCGTGGCACTGGATGTGTGTCTTACCAAGCCGATCGTCGTGACCGTGGGAGAGGACCGCGTGCTAAGGGTCTGGAGTTATCTCAAGTGGGGCCCAAACACACAGAAGCAGCGCCAGAAGAGGATAGAAAACTCGTAGGATTACCACTCAAGGTTGTAACGGGGGCGAAATCAGAAGATGGACCTCGGACGACCCCTCGCCTCCCGCGTTCCTCTCGCGACAACAACAGGTGGAAGTGCGAGGTGGTGTACGAGTTTCGCAACGAAGACCCCAACTGCGCGAGCCTTCACCCCACGGGCTTTCAGGTCAGCGTCGAAGACGTAGTTAGGTAAAGAACACGGCAGCGACCGTAGAGGAGATTTCGGTGGCACCATCCTAACCTCGCTTAGTTGTACTTGGGTCTCGTATCTTACCATCACCGGCCAAACGCACTTTTAGCTGCTGGAGTTTGAGTTGCCTCGGGGATATGTCGTCGCGGTTGGGGATAACCGACTCTCTATGAAGCACGGCAACTTCTTAATCTTGACCCTAATCCTAAACCTGTGCAGAGTTGTGACGCAACTGAGATGAGAGCACGATAGCTTTCTAAACCTAACCCGAACAATAAACGTAACGATATTTATAAGACTTTCATGGAAGCTTTGCGATCCGTGGTCGTCGTACGCAAACTTTTCCTATGTGATTACTTCTATCGAAGTCGGAGCAACTTCCATGGAAGAAATAGTTTTGGCTTTCGTGGTAACCAAAGTCTACCAGCCTCCACGGAAGTAAGTGCAACTTCCATAGAACGTGCATCCAACCGTCCAGGAAGCTCAACACCTTTGTCCATAACCGTGTGAGAGCACGATGCACCTGATAGACGGTTCCACCGCACTAAAGGCACGCGAGTAGATAACGTCAAGATACGCGTCCGATCGCCTATTTCTTAAAAACAGCCAAGTCAGCACCGCCGAGCTTCCACCATCCCAACTATAATCTAGCTTACCCCCCACCCCACTGAGTTGAATCCCAGCGGTGATGCCACAGGAAGCACACAAGGTGCATACTACAAATCCTCCATTCGAATCCCCCACGACTCATACGCACACCGACACATCTCTCCCTACGTGGCCCTCCTATACCACCGCCTCATTCGTGCGGCATCCCAATATAGGTGGCCGTGGGATTCAAGGACCGGGTCCGAATCTACAGCCTTCTGATGGAGGGGCTGAGAGTGCTGAGGGACATTCCTCAGAAGAACTGCCGGGCAGTGGCCTATGCCAACGGCGGACACCTCCTGGCTGTTGCGAGCGGGTTTTCCCTGATGGTGTACACATCCATCACGGCGCAGCAGGTGCCCGGTCGAAGCTTGCTGGTGGCCTTTTGTCGGAGTGTGTGGTCCGTGTTGATCCTGTCGGTGCTGGGAGCGCATGGTGGTGGCATTGCTCATATTGGGTGTTCCTGGCGAGCACTCGGTCGAAGCTCGAAAAGGAGTCTTTGTCCGGCCGAATGTGTAGCTGGTATTGCGTGATGGTGGCATAGAATAGCGATGATTCCGGGTCGGTTCTTGTTGCGTGACGCTAGCGCCCTCCTTTCACCTTGGCTTTTTTTCCTCGCCACACCTTCGCCGATCGACACCACACGTTGTGCCGGCATCGCTCTCCAGTAAATTTGGTAGAATGTAGGTTTTCACTCTGTCTCAACAGCGAGGTCGATCTTTCACACACGGATAGGTGCACTGTTTTACTGGGCATATTGCGGCCATCACGCTGGTCAAATGGGGGCCCAGGGACAGTGTTATCTTCAGCACCGGACAGGACGGAAACGTCTACGGGTGAGATTTGTATCAACGCTCGGTAGCCAGCCAATCACGTTCAATGGCGAAGGCGGCGGAACGCTGAGGATAACGTTTTGGCACTGAATCGTCAAAGGACGACACCCGTCGGGTGCTACACCAAGCGAGGGCGGGAAAATCGGGAAGGGGCAGAAGGGGAGCGATAATCACCTCCTGTATGGTCGTAAACATCCTTCTAACGAAAACACAATACACATATTTTCTGTACTCCTCTTGGCGACACCTAACGCGTGTGCTTTCAGCGAATCTGCTGCTTGATTCCAGGATCGATGTTCGTGCGCCGTTCGTTTTCGCCTAATCTGGTTGTGTGCATAGGTGGGATCTGCAGAACGGCGCAAGAGTAGACGACTGTGTGGCACTCAACCGTGCCCACTCATATCACGCAATGGAGCTCAAGCTTTCCGACAAGCGTGAGGTCAGAACTCCACTGTTCGTGGGTCTTGGCTGATATTTTAAATACGGAGCACGAGCATCGCATATCGGTTAATGGGACCTGTAGAGCACCTTTCAAGTCCTCTTGCGCCCGATGTAGTTGAGTATGGACGTTTACCATGATCTCCTTGGAACGGGCAGACACCCGACTTTCCTGCTGAAGCGTAGAACATGCTACAAATCTTGTTGTACAGGTTGCTGATGTGGTAGCTTGTTGCGGCACAGATTCAGTCATTCGAGAGGTGACGTGGGGGGGCAGCCTCCACAAGGAACACATCGTCAGGGAGATCAGGCTGGACGCCAACAAGCAGGCAAGCACAAATACATTATATTTTCAATGTTCATCGGGTTTTGTTCCGTTCATACCAATTTAGTCTACACTGTGAAAATTGCCGTGGATTCTTGTGGTCAAGATTTCATGCAGCACATCCAATGCGGATGACTTCAGAGAGCATGGAATAAAGTATCGGTCTGCTCCTCCCTGAACACACACACCCCGAGAACAACATACCCCGACACATTCTTCACTACAGCGGGGGGACAAGCATGCACGTCAACTTGAACGTCTCCTACTGTTGATGATAACAGGACGAACCATTCTACGTGACGTGCATGGCCACCAGCATGTCGGGCAAGAATCTCTTCTGCGGCACCAGCACTGGCCGGTACGATACACACGGTACTGGAGAAGCAACAAAGCGCATTCGAAGACGGTTTGGCATCAGCATTTCTCGCGATTTTATTCCAGGCTTGGGTCGTTCGTGCTTGGTTTGCGTACTTGCTTGGATGTAGGCGAAAGTTCACAAAGAAAAGAACGTTGCTCTTGGGCTAGCAACGACATCCGGTCTTTCAAGCGTTTGTGTGAAACTCTTGCCGGACTCCTCTGCTCTGTTAAAAATGTGGGTAGGCCCAGCTGAACTTCCACCTTCCCGTCGGCACTAAACGTAATTCCTGATGGTACAGCTGGTTGACAATGCATCTTATGGGGAAAAGTTGGCTTGTAATGCTGTAGTCCCTCCTTCTTACCGTGAATCTTCGGAACAGAGCCATCGCACGCCGTATCCAAGAAGCGTCCTCTCCGAATTCCGTATTTTCCACGCATGAACGCGTTCTGTGTGCCTCGTCACATCCCAGGGTACGCGTGTACGATTGGCCCCTGCCGCAAGAAACCCTTCCATGTTTCGAACTCCCGGTCCACTCCGGCCCAGTGACCGCCCTAGTCGTCACCCCTGACGACAACTTTATCTTCACCTGTGGGCAGGATGGTTGCGTGTTTGTCCTCGGCATCAAGGTGACGAACTTGTTGCCACCGAGCTTTAGGTTGATTCGCCTATGAGATGGACAATCGGTAGTTGGGCTGAGCACGGCTGTTCATGGTATTGCCGTTGCTGTCATTGTCTCTCCTCGTTCAGCCGAACACACGCTGTCCTTACTTGTCCCGTCTTCTCTTTGGCGGGCATCAAGAGTTGGCGTGGGAAGTCGAGAGCAAAACTGAGAATGAAGACAGAACACAATCGTCGGTCGCGTTTTTGGTTTCAACGAAGCGAGGGCTCTATTGCTTTGGTCTGATAGATTCATACTTGTAGATGAGCGGGGTTAGCTCCCCTGTCAGGTCGATTGGGGGGCATTTCGCTCTTCGCCGGTCGGGGTTATGCAGCCCCCGTTCGTTAAGCTTGGAGCAGGAGATGCACTCGACTCCATTTTGTGAAAGGTCCACCTTTTGCTGATGAAAATATCTCGTATGGTGTAAAGTGACGACGACTCCCCTGCTAGAGGTTATAGGTACGCAACAATACAACGTTAACATCGTCGTCTTGCGGTACTTGACCGTGTGTACAGCAAGTTCTAAAGGGCACATCGTCCGCCGCCGGCTCGAACGGGTTCTCTCGTTTTCGGACATATGCATATCTTTCGGTCAACATGTGCACAGATGATGGAGCGAGGAATCCAGATCAAGGGGGTGGAGGACCCGGACCCCCGAGCGTTCGATACCGACGCTGTTCTCGTCAGTCAGGAGGAGATCGAAGAGCAGTACGCGCAGGCATGATCCAACCCCTTGCATCACATATTGCACATGAAGCAGAAATCCATTGGTACAGCGAACTTGGTCACTCCATGCTCAATTCGACTTTATCGCCATATGTACGGAACGCACAGAACACATACCAGGTACTTGTTTTGCGTAACAGATTTTCCGATCCTTCCTCATGAGATCTACGAACAATTGTCAAGATTTGAACTTGATACCTTCGTGTTCAAGTCAATCTCGACTAAAGTTTCGACTTCTGCAAGCTCATCAAGTCGAAAGTGAACCCTTCCCGCGAACGAGCTAGATCTACTGTAGGTCATTCATTCTTCCTGAGACACGTAGACGACGGCGACAAGGAAAACCTGGTTCAACCCGCAAGAGTTGTGTAGACGAGGGCCTTTTTCGGGGCGATCAGAAAATTGATGAGGGTCTGATCCTGTTGAATCAATAGCTTGCTTGTGTACACTTCACTTTTCACTCCGGTACAGCTGGTCTGTCTGCCGTGTGTTACATAGCTTCATTTTGAGCAGCATACGTTGTTGACTCAACCGATGGACGACAAGTTACGGATGACGTACTTGGTGACACCGTTTGAGTTCCTTAAACCATCAACACATCATCCGTTTGCAATTTCACTCAACCTACCTTGATTTTCCGTGTGGCTGTAGTTGATCGTCCTCACCCTGCAGCTGCCGACACATCTGAACCAACATGAGTTGTTCCTCAGGTGGCGGAGCTGAACAAGACGATGGAGGATATGAAGAGCGAGCACGTCTTCGCGCTGCACAGGAAAACCGCAGAGCTCCTGGATGACCTAAAGCAGGTAGAGCCAAGTTTCACGGTTCAATACCACCACATTTGAGGCAATAATATCATCTCAGTTCAACCAAATGCAGGTACATAGATCTGACATGACCTTGCGACACGTACAGTAGACATGGTGGCTTTTAGCGCTGTAGTGAGAAACGGTTCGGGGTTGACGTAGCAGCACTTGCGTGTATCAATGCTTGTGTTCCTGCGCATGTCTCCGGAAACGTTGCTGTGGCCAATAATCAAGAGGGTCTGGCCTGGGGCAGCTATTGAATATAGCCTATTCATTCTGGGCTACGCTCCCCAGCCGCAACTCGGTGTTGGCGGATTTTGGTGCTTAATGGCAACCATTGTTGGAAGAGTAATCAAATAACATGTGCACCTGCCACGCGCTCCCACAAGGTTTCGGAAGACAACGAAGGGAAGCTGGCGGCGAAGGACGCTCGCTTCGACGAGCTCTACACGAAGCACGAAGCTCTCAAACGGGAGAATGTGGAAGCCCTAGACAAGAAGGACAGGCATCATGTGCAGGTGAAGCACGCGGTACTGCTGTAAGGAAATACCACAGCCCAATACAAAGAATACACCGCAATAACTGCTGCTCGACGATATACCCACGTTTCCCCCATCAACTAAGATCAAGTTTGAGATATCACGACCAGCAACTGCTTGTTCATGCTCCTGCAAGACACCTTCTAAACTCTTGGAGAAGGCATACGAGATGTATTGTAGTATATTTACAATGCTCACAACGAATTTCATAGGTTACACAAGAGCTAGAGAACCAGTACGAGCACCGGCTGGCTGTGGAACTGGATCGCTACGATAGACTGAGCGAGGAAGTAGAGACCGTGCAGCAGCGGTGCGAAGGGCTCTTGGAGGCGCAGCAGCAGGAGCACCAGTGGGAACTCAGAGCTAGAGAACAGGTACGCGCCACGCCGTCCGTATAATGTGTGTCCTGTGCTCAATAATCGCCCGATTTTTCGCATGAGCATGGCTCGTGATCCATGGGACCGACCGTTATGAACATTTCGTTCTGCTGATCGGGCGGCCGGGTAACGCAAAAAAGCGCGGATTTGTGGGTTTCATACCGATCACATGATCGATTCGTGCAAGTTGCTCGTGTACAAAACTCATTAGCGGAATTGCTTGGCATCGGTTTGGATGGTCGAGGTTGGTGAGGTCGGGATGGTGTGACGTGCCGGCTTTTGATCTGATGTGTGTGGCCTCTCGTCTGCCCCGTGATCGTAAAGTAGACCCGAGTTGAGGGAGCTCTACGAGAACGCACATCCTGCGCGCTACCACTCTTGAATGCATACGAGTGCCATGTCCAAGTTCGTGCACGTTTCACGTCCAGCGCGGTTTCGAACCCGACATGACCAGGATAATCAACGACATGTGCAAGGGAAAACCACTGCAGTAGTTGGTCGCGGGCGTTGAAAAACAAACGCACCTGACGAAGTTGCGTATTCGGGATGTAGCCACGTGAGCGACCTGGCGTTTCTTCTTGCTCAACCCATACAGGCTGCCAAGAAGATGGAAAAGGAGCTCCGGCTTCAGATCGAGCGTCTGCAGGAAGACAAGAACTACAACGATCAAATGTACAGAGAGGTAATTCATGCAAAGAACGTCCTGTTTCAAGAGACTGCAGAATACATTGAACATGTCTGAAATGGGCGAGGACCTGGGTTTACCAGGCTATACCCGTGAAGAACTCACATGCGCCTGCAAGCTTTTTGCTTATTCCTCGAGATTCGCCCAAACCCGAGCCTCGGAGTCTCAGGCCCAGCGTAAAGACTGTCGTGTATCAGAAGAGAGGGAGAAGGAGGGGAGGGAGAGATGGAAGTGAGTAAGGGCGAGTAGTCTTCTTCGAGATGGTAGCCATGCCAATGCATCTTCGGCGTAGGATTCCACAAGGCAATTGAATGCATCATGTACTGTACATGTGTCGTGCACCCTAGTCACGAAAGGGGTGCTTAGACCGCGGAGGGGGCAACCTGGAAGGTGGGGCTCCATCGCTAGAGCACTTGTATTTCGCCTGTACGATGTTGAAATGAATGGTGATACATTATATTGGCGTTCTTCGTCGCCCTCCTCCACGAATTGTGTTGCTGAAAATCACAGGTTCTAGACCAACAGGAAGGAGAGTACGAGACCGAGCTCCAGCAACTCATCGCCGCGGCTGAGGCCGAGCTCCACGGGGAGAGAGAGAACACTGGAAAGCTCCGTGCCACACTTCAGGTTGGAAAAGTGTTTTCCCTGCACAATCAATCTGAAGACGGCTCTCATATCCGGCTTTCATCGATCGAGATATTTACCTGGTTGTTCCGTGTCGCGAAGAAGGGGGGACAAGCGCATCAACCCAAGAACGTGATATCAATCCCATGACATGACGCCGACGTCAGGCGGTGAAAACTATCACATGCTCGAAATACGGCTTTTGGTGATAACCGCTGCCAGCCGAGACCCGACAACTTGCTTAGACCATTGCCCGAACGATGATTCAAGCTACGAAGATACCATGATCATCACGCAGAACTTGAGAGTGAATCTGTGACCATCGAACGGTCGCCGGAGTAGACGATGACTTCCTCATGTGGGATTCCTGCGTTTCGATGCATCCATGCTTCGCATGGACGTACCTTGTGCATCGACGCGACCACCGCTAAAACCAAGGCGGTTTAGGAAACCCTGGAACCTGGTGCCGTTCAACATGTTTCATTCGCAAGGTGCCATGCCCGACAAGCATGATGCAGACTTCTCAACCGGAACACTACGAACGGAACGACTTTAGAAAGTCGTCTCGATACGTGAATGGCCCCAATTACAGCATCTGATTGCCAACGAGACGTGGCACAACGGCAATGCTCCTTGCAAAAACCACGCAGACCCGAAAAACGAAGGAGGACCAGCTGCGAAAAAAGATGCAGGAGACGCAGAGGAGCTCGAGCGCGCGGGAGATGATGTTCGCGCTGGAGAAGGCCAAGCGAGAGAGGCTCGAGGCCACCATGCACCACTTCGAGCAGCACATGCACCAGCGGGAGCTCACCCTCGCAGAAAAGGTATTGCACTGTCGGGACAAAGCTCGATACACCGCTCGTCGCTGTTGTACCCTCTCTCTCCACGTCAACATCAATATTAAAGCACCAAGTTGATTTTGGTCAAACAACTTGTCTCGAGCTGCAGATGATTTCAATAGTCCAATTGGACAAAAATCACCAGAGAGGAACTGTTTGCCGCACTTTTATCGGAGATGTGCGACTCCAACTCGTAGGGGAAACTAAGAAAAATCCCTTCATTCCGGACAATAAATCGAATGCCTCGAGTTACAGCACTTCTCTTCACAGCAGTGGGGAACAAACAACTGGACATATTCGAGTGGAATCGTTTTCCGTCGCACTAGTTGTCCTGATAGTGGCACTCTCTCAGAGAAACCCGTAGCTACCGTTCAGTTGCGAGCTAGAAATCAAACGACCATTTCGCAAAGAGAAATTTCTTTGAATACGCTGCGCCTGGAGATATCATTTCTGGCGGTATGCTCTCTCTCTCTCTCTCTCTCTCTCTCTCTCTCTCTCTCTCTCTCTCTCTCTCTCTCTCTCTCTCTCTCTCTCTCTCTGTCTCTCTTGGGTGCTTTGCAAGTGTCTCCATGATTCCCAGTCTGTTCACAGTGTCCCTTCGACAATCATCATTGCTCCACGACTCCACACGATATGGTGTGTCTCGGTTACCAATTGGTTTTCCTTTAGCCTCTCCCGGTCTGGATGTTCTCGATCTTTGTTTCATGTGGAGACAATAACTCTCATGCCCACTTTCCCATGAGTAACACAATAGTATCAGTCTGTTTCCTGAGTCATTTCGTCACGTAACTGTCGTTTGTGAGCAGGAGAAGACGATTCTCGAGCTGCGCAGCAACAATACTACCCTTGACAACTTCAGGTATGATCACGAGATGTCCTTGTGTGCCTTTGGCAGTCTCTTGTTCGTTGCTGCTGCTACCGTCGCTATTGGCGTTGCCTTTATTGTTGTTGACGCTGAGATATCGAGTACCACAATAGACAGCAGCAATCGCGTGAGCAACCCAGTGCCAACTCTGACCCAGCCTGTGAGGGGTGATTTGGGAGGCCACCAACTATCGAGGGGTGATTTTGGAGGCCACCAAGCATCACCTCAATCACTCAATGTAGCATGTTTCGGACGATTTTGTATTTTGCACGGAATTTCTTCTGAAACTTGTGCCTCTGCGTGTAGCACGGCGAAACATATTTTCGCCGACCATCCACAACGGTAAGAACGAGCTGACACAGGCACCACTACGTACGTTCGCAGGTTTGTTCTGGACCATCGTCTGCAGCAGCTGATGGAAGAGCGCGGCCCGATCACCGCGCACATAGAGGGCCTTGAGGCGCACATTCGCGGCATGTACGACGAGCTGGTGAGTGGGTGCGGACACCATGCCAACAACATCGCGTCCGCCGGTCCGTATGGGGAAAGGTATCTTGACTCTTCACGCAGTATAGGACAACCGCGACATTGACGGCAAGTGAGGGGTTTGCCCAAGATGGAGGGGAAATCAGCCAGTGTCCAATACGTTGCCCTACTACGGGCTTGGTCGTCACACTGAGCGCGTCTTCGCGATAGTACTGAGAAGCTACAATTACGTCATGGTCTTGTTGGAATCTTTCTATATTTGCGGCGCAAGCAACAGTGTGTTCCGCGCCATCATTCCTTACCGATGTCGATATACTCTGGACCTAAGAACAGCTGTTTCACCACTTGATGAGGCGATGTCGACGTGTTCGTATCCTGCGAAACTGCGTTGAGATTTGCTTCTTTCGGTTTTCAAACTTCAAATCGCATCCACGTGCAATAATTTGAGACCGTATCACGTTTTCAGAGATCATTCGAAACGACAAACTTATCGTGAGAGCTTCTCGACCAAAAACCCAAAATACCTAGTTAAGCGAGTTCGGCGAGAAGAAGGACGTGGCCAGAGTACTGGAGCAGAAGGAGCTCAAGGTCGCCAGCCTGAGCCAGGAGGTGAACGGACTGCGCAGTCAGGTCCGCAGCAAGGACCGCATTATCTTCGGCTTTAAACGCGAGCTGTCCTCGATGGTGCACATTGGACTTCCCAAGGAGCTCGAACAGGCCGTCAAGGTAGAAATTGTGGTTTGGACAAGCCTGGGCAGTTTTTCTGAGGCGGTGTCTAGGACGTTAATCCCAACGGCCATGGCTACCACCAGAACGAGCAAGCTGAACGCAAAGTACGAGAACAAGCACCTTAGAATATCGGTACATACACCCTTCAACAATCCGCAGTGTGCACAGAATGCAGGCTGCCTGGACAACGAACACAATATATACACAGAAGGTCATCCTATCACGGGAGCCTCTCTTTCTCTCTCTATCTCTGTCCATTTCTCTCTCTCTCTCTCTCTCTCTCTCTCTCTCTCTCTCTCCCTCTCCAACAACGAAGCGCACAAATCTTAACGAGAACCCAATCAAAACAAAAACAGGAAGCGTACAAAAGGTTCGTCCAAGGAGAGGACATCGCAGAATCTTCCCGCACTCGCCACGCCTCGTCCCGCCGAGGCGGCGGGGGCGGAAGCTCGGAGCCAAAAGGTCCCGCCGCGGGCGGCGCAGGTGGGGGGGGAAGTGG